GACACGGGCAAAATATATTTTGGCGTGTAACGAAGCCCAAAAATATAATTTCAAAAAAAAAACTTTATTTTTAGTTTATGTATACCAAAGGCTTTTCACTCACAAAAAATAAAGAGAATCGATTTTGCGAACCCAAATTCACCGGACCGCTCTTAGCGGGAGTGCCACTTAAATGTTTTAGCGTAATATGCGATGAGGGAAGGAGAGCTAAGATTTAAAAATCAGTATAATGCGCATGCGGTGATCTATCCATCCGTCTATCCATCTATCTCCCCTCCCATCCCAATCCATCCCAATCCATCTCATCCCATCCCATTCGTCAATCTGTTCGTCCATATTTATTAATTTGACATTTATCATCAATTTATTCTTGTTTTAATTGTTTTTCTCTACACTAGGGTTTAATAGTGTGTGGGTAAATGAACAAGGTCCAGTAAAAGTCTATCCATTTCTCCCATCCAATTTTTCATTCAATTAATATTTTCTTTTGTTTTTTCTTCCATTTATCCATGCTTCTGGTTGCGTTTGAAAACATATTAGATTTTGGTGTTGTAGTTCCTTATGGTAAGATCGGGTGGGAGTCAATAAATAAGATATGGAATCAAACGTATGAATTTGTAATTCAAGAAAAAAGGAAGCGGAGTCTATCGTTTTTCCGCATATTTTATTCCTTTACATGGTACAAAATCCGGTGATCCAGACAATGCAAATCGAAACTCAGGTCGACTAAAGCATGAAGCGCGTCCAATAACGAGTAATTCAAGTCAATGAAACAATAGCCCACCAACTCCAAACTTGTTTTTCACTGCTTTCAACAGGTAGTTTGGCCAAGAAGAAATGGTCCGTTCTCGTCCTTAATTATTCATAGCCTGGTCTTCCTTAAGCAGGAAGGTTTAGATCAGCTGGATGGGAGAATTATCCGTCTAAATTGAGAGATTATATCTTGATAAAAGTCACCAAAGGACAAGAGGTGAGTTTGATAAATTGTAAAGAACTCATTAGAGGGAAATGTCCACAAAGTGGTTATTTATTCCCTGCTACTGGCAGGACGCAATTTTTTTATGTTTTAGTTTCATTCTCTCGTCTGCTGTCTTTGCGTTTTTGATTTGAAAGTAATCAATATGAATATAGAATATAAGCATTTATATAAACTGAAGTTTTGCTCACTCTTGAAGCTATGTGTAGTGAATAAGGCTTTTCGTAAGGTTTCGTTTGGTAAAATTTTCAAAGCTATTATAAGCTGGGTTCTTGGAGTAGTTTATAAACATTTTTAGTCCGATTGTACCTTATAGCTCATGAAGAACACTTCAGGGTTTTTGTAAGCTTTTTCTTTAAGAGTTATGCTACTATGAGATGGTGAATAACGACAAGATGCTAGCTCAGTGAAAAAACACACTCACACACACACTACAAAAATCTATTAGTCTTGTCATGGTCATCGTTTTGTCTTCCAGTCACATGCAGCCACTCAGATCATTTAATGGTATTACAAAATAGACCTTTATTAAGTTGTTTCCTTTATTTAGCACTATAGCTATTTATTAGCTCTTTAAAGTATCCTCGACTTATGGATAGAAAAGACCAGATTAAAAATGAATATCAAAATTTTTCATTTTGTTTTCATTACATGCAATCTGCAACAGGTGTTTATCTTGTTGGAAGTCAAATCATTTTTGAACTGCAACAAGAGTGCGCGCGTGGACGGATGCATGAGGACAATCAATGTACTATAGTTTGACCTTAATGTAATGCAGAGAAATCTCAGTTATGTGATTGATAAATCAGCTTAACTTTATCCTAAATAGGATCGATTTTTCAATTCCTTACTCTTGTTTTTTTATAAAATACGAGAATATGGTAACGGAGTATTTTCAAGACCATCTTTAGAACTGTATTGCGCAGGACTCGAAGTCAAAAATTATGCACTACTTTTACCTGACTGCTTGCGCGAGTCGTTGGTTGAAACAAAATCAAAAATATAATCAATTTTTCCGGATCTCCTTTGGATTCATTTGTGTCAACTGTGCTGGCTAAAACAGATACAAAATGGGACCAACTTATCCTGATCTCCTATGGATTTCCCGGCCGAATTTGAACTCGACACAGATTGGGCTGGTGCCAAAACGGATGGCAGAACTGAAAGGATCTCTTTGCGCAAGCAGGGAAATTGGACTTTGCATTTAGTTTTTGAAATCGATATCACATAAATGCGAAATAAATTTACATAGTTGACCATGACACTTGACGTAAGAAGACAGTTAATTTCTATTACCTATGTTACAGTGCTCTTCCACGAATACAATGCCAGTTAAATATAGAATTTTGCGTGTGTGTGTGGGGGGGATTATGGTGTTTAGAATACAGTGCGGTCCTCTTTTCTTGACGTCCAAATATCTTTGAATTCCCATCATCTCAAACTTGAGGCAGTAATCCATGGACTCCTGTAGCTATAGTGTGACGTTTTCATAGCTGAGCAACATCTAAGTGCTGAGAGTTTCCTTCGGAAAAAATAATTTATAAATATTTGTCGTAAGTGCGTGGTAACGAATCATTACAAATTCACTGCGTGTGGACTAAATTGAATCCATTAAAAAATCAGTACCATGATTCGGGGGGGGATTTACTTGCCAAACTGTAAAACGTTCTTAATATCATCTTATCTCAGTACAAGGGAGGGTGGATCATGAGCTGTGTTAGGGATATTATTCACCTAAGTATGCTGTCATCATGTCTTTTTGCACAAGATCCACATCAAAATTGATCTTGGTCAATAATTGATTAAATTTCGAAAATGAAGACATTTTAAATGAAGACATTCTCTGACCCTTATGAGCGCGCCATTAACATGGAAATTATCTCATGACAGCAATATTCAGACATGTACTCTAAATAAATACTAAGACAATGCTTGTTATATTTCATTTTAGGGACCAACGCAAAGAATTGAGGCGCACTCACGAAAATTATATTTTTTCGACAAGTCTCTCTAAAACAGTGCGATATGGCAGTTTTTCATAAAATTCTGCCGTTAATTGCTGGATTATGGTGCTTGATGGCTGTGACGGCAGAAAAGAAAGAGGCTCCAAAACGTAAGCAAAAAAGCTATATAATATATCACTAAACAACACCTGCTATTTTAGTAACTTTTCATTCTCATTTATTTAAGTTTATTTAATCGAATTTAGTATTACGTAAAACGCGATTTAATAGCCATGCACTATAGTGAATGGAATTGAAAAAGAAAGACAACTGCATTGAATACATTTTCTAATGTATGTGGCGACGAGTTGAAACGATCATTCAGTTTCATATGTATAGCGCACGCGCCAGTCATTTTCATTTTCCGAGATGATTTCGATTAAGTAAACAAGAGAGTGGACTGATTATTTTTCAATCATGTATTGGCTGAAGAAACCTATCATTTATTGTATTAGATATATACGGCGGCATTTATTAGAGTTTGGTTAAATGGAGCAACCATCATGCACAAGCACGCGAATACTCATACTTAAAGGTGCGGTAATACAAGCAACAAAAAATTGCATTAACTTTTTGCGTATTAATATTGCTGCGTTGCAAGTTGCAGAGAAAACGATGCTCGTTTATCAACAAATGATTATCTTTGCAAAGAGGAGATAGAAAGTTTCTATACTTTACCCAACAAAGCGCGCGCGGGGGAGTGGTAATACTAGCAACAATTGCGCGCATGCTCTGTAACCTTGGCGCGATTTTGTTGTCCGTATAAGCCTTTTCATAGTTTAAGAATCGATTCCACTGCGCATGCGATTTTTTCCCGAATTTTTCACCTTCTTTTGTTTAATTAAGAACAAAAGAAGGTTTAGACAAAAGAAGGTGAGAAATTCGGGATAAAATCCCATGCGCAGCGGAATCGATTCTTAAACTATGAAAAGGCTTATTACCGCACCTTAAAATACCTATCTGTGCGCGTGCGCAAATCAAAATCTTACATTTACAAGAGATTGTTTCTATAACTCTTAGCCGCCCCATGTTACGAGGCACTAGGCGTACAAACAGGAGGTCTAGACGACGGGGATATCACAGCATCAAGTAAACTAGCTAACTTCACCGCAACAGACTCTTGGTGTTCCCAAGAAAACGATGAAAACCAGTATCTGCAAATAGATTTAGGCGAGAAAACAAAGTTAACCAGAATAGCTACTCAGGGTGCTTTAGAGCAGCCTGGCAAGCATGTCAAGACATTTGCTGTCCTCTACAGCATGGATGGGAAGAAATTCCAAACATATGGTGCTAATGGAACCGAAAAGGTTGGTCAAAATTTCAGCCGTTGGGCGTAATATAGCTGATTGTTTGAGTAGAAGTCATGTTGGTGTACCGGACTTAATGGTAAATTCAGGGGCGTAGCCGGGATTCTCCGAAGGGGGGAGGGGGGCGGGACAGGGACACAAATTACAAAAATTCCGCCATTTTAATTTAAAACCATTTCGTGTGACCAAAAACGCCGAACTAAAAAAAATACGGTATTATACGTTTTACGTTTTAATTTTACAAAACTTAAAGACAAATTTTAAAAATTTCCGTATTAATTCTAAAAAGCATTCTATTTTGTTCAGAATGTTTGCGTCATTCGTGATGTTTTTAAAAAATTTATTTTTATTTATTATTATTTTATTAATTATTATCTCTTCAGATCTTCGACGGCAATGTAGATTCCTTTACTGTTCACCACAACAACCTCAAGAGTCCGATTGTTGCGCGTTACGTACGAATTAATCCGCGATCATGGGAAAAAGGCATTTGTATGAGAGTGGAGCTGTATGGATGTGATCGTAAGTATTGCAACTTTTTGATTACTCATAATGGGGTGCGCACAAACATGAGGTGGTTATGCATGCGCGCGCTCTTCGAAACATTGTGAAACCATGTAAATGAAAGACGCTTTTTTTCTTTATTTGCAGCATAAATACCATTCAAGGAACAAACGTAAGACAAACAGGACCTGGATACAAATGGAAACCGTATATACATTCATTTGGAAGTATTGCGCAGATTTGAGCAATTATAGTTGTATAAAATATAAATGAAACGCATTGATAAATGCTACGACTGGGACGATATTATTGGATTCCAATTACCAACAGTGATAAAAGAGCTACTTTAATATTTTTGTGCATTTCAAGTTGTAGCTAGATCAGTTCATTTTCTATGGAGTATTATCGTTCATGATCGCTGTATATAACATTAGATAGTATAGACAAATGGTACATCTTTATTATGTCTTTTGAATAAAGTGGCTGTTGCCCGTTCTAAGCAACAATAAAGGTGTAATTTTTAGCATTAATAAAGTTGTTTTATAAAGAGAATAATAAATATAATCGTTGGAATTCGTTTCATTACGTGGGCTTCCTGTGTAGACATTTCCCGCTCTTTCCACAGGGTACCCAAAACTACAAAAATCCAATTCCCATCTTTCACAAGGGACAGTTTCGAGTGAAGAAATGAAATAGATTCATAGAAAGATATTTGGGGATTTCTCATCCAGAAGGTAAGTAAGACTAGGTTTCAGTGCTTTCTCTTACAAATGAAATGCTTACATATTTTGGGGGCAAATATTTAACAATTATTTTCGATAAAAAAAACTTTCTTAACCTAATTTTGACTGACTGTGTACTTTTGGAGCGCTAGCATGTTTTAATCTAAGTTCTTTTTTCTGTGGTTTTAGTGTTCCAACACATACAATAAATGTCTTTTAAATTCATTAAGCTTATAGTCTCTTGTCAACAAATAGCATAACTAGTATCAAGAACCATTTGCCAAATGATTACGTTTATTAAAAGTTAGATAATATCAATGGTTATTTTGGAATGAGGGATATTAATCCATGAAACAGATCAGACCCATCACTAGTGGTGGTTTGATTCAAACCCCCCTTTCCCCCATCTTTTAGGTAGGAGTACGAAGTAATGTTTAGCACTTAGCTAGTTTAGTTTTTCAAGAAATGGCTTAACTAAGATTGGTAGAAAAACATACCTCCCCTTTCAAGGTCCTAGGCTTTGGTCAATCAAATTTCAAACAGTCTGAGAGATTAGTAGCAAAGAACCCTCGAAGTCTTGAGCTTTGGTTGGTACATATATATTTTGTTATGAAAATGAGTGTGATTAATTCTTGTTGAAAAACCGGCGCTTTACAAGTGCAACACACAAAAGTTTGACCGTCATTTAATGTATTTGCATACTTCTTAGCACAGGCTTTTCCAGCCAAACAAGCATTTGCATACCTTATTTGGTAAAAGCAGCCAGCTTGTCATCGAAATGCGTTGGTTTAACTTACAGAGCCCATGCATAAAAATGTGCAAGTACATTAAATGTGGTCATACTTTTGTGCCGGAACACAGTTTGTTATATTCAAAAGAATTTATGTATGAAAGTAGTGTCTAAAGATATATTTAGACTGTTATTTTGCTATTTTCTTATGTGACCACATTACAAAAAGACGTGTTGATAGCAAGATGAAACTTTTTGTTTTGCATGCATGGTGTGTGTGTCTGATTAGTAATGGTGTATGTTATTTTTTTTGATCAACCACATACAATCCAATCTTGGAATTGCACCCAGCCCTCAAGACATTACCATAAGTATATGTCAAGTGTGCTCTCTTACACCATTTGGATCTGATGTATGGGTTGTCTGTAGAATGTCTGGGCTGTCTGTATTTGAGTCAGTGAGCTTCAGCATGTTTCAATAATCTGCAAAATTCTTGTATTAAATTTTACTATTTTAGGACTTGTGATATTCAAATTCTCTAATATTGAATATCCAGTGCATCAACTAAATACTTTTCTAAAAACAGGGTTTAGAATAACAGCCAGTCATCCAACAATATGTCTAGCCAGAATTGGAACTCAAAAAATCAAAATGCAAGAATGATACAAGTGAATGTGACGTTTGAAGAGATAAGCATTGCCTACCAGTTGAACGAAGAGAAACTTTTTCCTATCATATTCAATTATGCAATATCAAAGTATAAAATCATTCTGAAGGTTGCACTCTTAAATAATTTGATTGAATGGTGATTTGTAGAGTTGCCATGGTAACAATCAGTACACAATATTATAAACCTTGACTGTGTGCTTGCATGTTTCCATAACACCCCTTCCCCGCTACGCCACGTGGAGGCTACCATTCATGTAGCGGAAATTTCCCACCTGTGAAACCACACTAGATGGGTGTCCAATCAGTGTCCAAAGCCAATCAATTGCACCGTGCAAATTTAATGTTTATATAATGGCCTAGAAAGTTTTACAAAGCCTGTTTAGTATCTAAGTGTTAAAATTAATGGTTAGATATAACAAGTCAATATTAACTATGAGCATTATAAGGTTAAGTTGTTAAAGCATTTTCATAACCAGGCTTTGTAATACTCATGAAAACCTCATTATATTTAAGCAATAGAAAACTTTTTCCGTGTTTACATAGCCTGATAGTAACACGAGGRGAGGTTGGGAGAATTCGAGACAGTTATACAAACCCGAGACGTAGTCGAGGGTTTGCATAACTGTTGAGAATTCCCCCAACCCCCCGAGTGTTGCTATCAGGCTATGTAAACACAGAGAAAAAAGTTTTCCATTGCTTTCATAAAATAAATACTAAGGGAAAACATTACCACTTGCAAGAAAATAAATCTTTATTTGAATTTGATTCTCATATCAAAATACAAATTCTCCATACATCACGAACTTCGATTGTTAGCCAATCAAATTTTGTGTAATAAACGCCAAGGAAAAGGCAAATGTGAAGCGAGAAAGAATCGCTACCTATTTTCAACATTTATCATTCTAAAACTTTAAAACAAATACAAAGAAATGTCCAAAGATTGAATAGAAATCTTAATAAAATATTTCAGAATTGATTATCTTTACGAAAGTGATCAAAAGTGGATAACAAGTGTCACTGTGAATGGAATTCTCGGTTGAGAGAAACGTGGTTTTGCTCAATTTGACAGCGAGAAAACATGGCAGCGAAGTTGATTGTTTCGTCTTGCCTCGAGAAGATATTTTGTGGAGCTGAAGAGCCTTGAAATACTTGTATTCTTTATCGGGCGGTGTATTTAAATCATGAGAAAGCACGTCGCTGAACAACCGCAGCTATCCTGACGGAGGACCTGTGTTGTAGCTCCTGAGGGAATTCTCTTTGCGGTGACCAACGAGAGATTGTCATGATATTACGATCAGAAAGACCTGCATGAGACCATAGGGTTATGCCTGTGGCCCTGACACAAGTCAAAATTTGGAACTTCGTCTTCAAAATACATTTTTGGGGGCGTTTTTTTCCTCGAAAGAAACTGTAAATTTTTAATTTTTGAACTTGTATTGGGAAAACACGAAAGTTGTGATGTCACAACTGTGTTTACATATCCTCATGCAAACATGGCTATCAACCAATCACAGCGTGCGTACTATTTAATTTATTTTATAAAAACCAATAGATCGCTTAGCGCACACAGTATTAGTATATATTATCAAGACAACAACATAAAACATGGACTCCACATAGTACATCACATAACAAATATACAGTCAACTGCTTCTCCTTGAACAGATTTCCAGTTTGTATTGTGACATCTCTTTGAAGAACACCATTCTGTAATGATAATAGTAATAGGGAAAAACACAACTAATAATATCAAGGAGTTTATAGGGTTTTTATAAATCATTCAAAAATAACATTTACCCATTTGAATTGTACAATTAATGTACATTGTATCTCATCGAATTAAAGGCAGGCCAGTATTTTATATCATCTTTTGGTTGCTGCAGTATGCTTGAAATATCCATCCAGTGGTAGACCATCCTCACGTCAGTCATATACCATGCTTCTTTTGATCCAAGGCTTATCTGTTTCTAATCTCCTAGGTATGTTCCAGTCAAATTACTATTTATCCAATGATTGACCATTGTCTTGTCCTTTGGCTATTTGAGCAGTCTCAAATATAACTTGGGATTTAGTTGACAAGTGAAGAACAGTGTTTCAAATTATGTCTGTAAAATCTCGATTGGCATCTCAGTTATTGTTCTTGATTTTTGCACTATAATATGTGATATGAATGTATTCATCTCATTCAAAGCTGTGGCTCATCTGAATAACTGTTGGGGAAGTATGCCAGACTGTTCATCTAATATCTATGATTTCCATCTATTCAGCAAATCTATAGGAACATTATCTGATCTCATAACTATCCATAAAGCACTGCATTTCTTAGGAATTCTTTGATCCCTGTGAGAATATTTCCTGGTTGCTTTGGTAAGAACACATTTTTGGGTCAGCAAAGTTCAAAAAAAACAACAACAGTAAATAAGCAGCAGTGACCAATAAAATGGCCAGTTCATATGCAAAATATAGTAATGTCTACATAAACAAGGCAGTGACAAGTAAAATGGCCATCTCATATACAACATAATAATGCCTACATGAACAAGGCAGTGAAAAGTAATACAGTGATGCCTAAATAAACAAGGCAGTGACAAGTAAAATGGCCATCTCATATACAACATAGTAATGCCTACATGAACAAGGCAGTGACAAGTAATACAGTGATGCCTAAATAAACAAGGCAGTGACAAGTAAAATGGCAAGCTCATATGTATACAATATAGTAATGCCTAAATAAACAAGGTAGTGACCAAAAAAATGGCCAGTTCATACATGATAGTACTGTCTACCTTAATGACGCAAGGAATGATAAAATATACAGCTTATATACAGTATAGTAATGCCTAAATAAATAAGGCAGAGACCAATAAAATGGCCAAGTCATATACAATATAGAAATGCCTAAATAAACAAGGCAGTGACAAATACAATGGCCAAGTCATATACAA